CCCTACAAGGAGATGAGAAATGCAAGCAGCATGTGCTGCCCTAAGCCAAATGCTTTTTACCTATATTCCGGCTGCCTGATGCTTTCTTGTTACCTAGTGCTGCCATGTTGTTAGTGTGAAAGAAAAAAATGGAGATCTCTATCTCCTCTTACAATGGACAAGGGGCCTGCTGCTGAACAGGAACACCAAGGAAAGTAGGGGTTCCCAAAACTACTATTTAAGCCTTCTCCCTCTACAGGGAGTAACTTCCATATGCTCACCTGCTTTTCAGGCAGAACGCTTTCCAGGCTTCTTTTACATTTTAAAGTACACTTTGTATTTCGGATAACGTGCACTTTAAAACTGATATTCCAAGTATTTTTGATGCTCAAGCTTCCAACTAAAAGAAGTCTTCTAGGTCTCCTTATCATGCAGTGTCCTGTTCCTTAAAATACGAAATTTTTCACCAAGAGTATCATCAGCCTGCAGTCTGTCTGGACCCCCATGTAGACAGTGTTGGTCTCAAACCTCTGAGTGTGTTCGGTAACACTAGCAAGTTCTTCATAAATGCTGAAGGCTTAGGAGATTGATCATAGCTTAGATTCTCTTCCTTTCCTGAAATTCTCATCAATAATTCAATGAGTTGTAGTGACTCGTAACAGAGTGAACCAACTTCCTTACGCTACACTAATGCTCCTGCATGTCACTACGTCCCTGAAGATGAGGCATAACCTTCTACAAACTCAGACAGTATTATATGAATGACTTGTCACCAGAATAAAAAATTACCCAGTCTCTTGATTAGGTATTGCCTGTGTCTGAAGTATGCCCTTTATGGCTCTTGTGTTAAAACTTCGTGCCTTTCCAATAAGGAAAGCAGCATTGTTCATTTAGGGCTTAAGCTTGTTTCAGGGTATTCTGCATCCTGTAAGGAGCAGACTTTATTAAAACATGCACCGTGCATACTCTGACAAAAAGTGAGCTTTTAGCATGTATTGGGGTTGTTCAGCCTGGAGAAGGCTCTGGGGAGACCTGATTGTTGCCTTTCAATACACAAAAGAAGCTTACAAGAAAGATGGAGGAAGACTTTTTACCAGGGCCTGTAGTGATAGGAGAAGGGGTAATGGTTTTAAACTCAAAGAGGGTAGGTTTAGATTGGATATAAAGAAATATTTTAGGATGAGGGTGGTGAGACACTGGAACGGGTTTTCCAGAGAAGCTGTGGATGCCCCCTCCCTGGCAGTGTTCAAGGCCAGGTTGGATGGGGCTTTGGGCAACGTGGTCTAGTGGAGGGTGTCCCTGCCCATGGCAGGGGGGTTGGAACTAGATGATCTTTGAGGTCCCTTCCAACCCAAACCATTCTATGATTTTATGTGAAATTAGCATATTCTAAGTTTGCTGTGCTTGGCCTAAACTTTCTCCAGGTACAGTGAGAAGCTTTTCAATAAGAATTAAGGCTTTCCTTCAAAGATATGAGAACCTATGCTGTCACCTTTATGTGTATAGTCAAATAATCAGGAACCAGAAGCTTGCTGCCTTGCAGAAAGACAAAAAGACACTGCTTGCTAGCAGTCGCTGCTCTCCTAAACAAACAGTAACATGGCAAAAGCTGCTGCCCACACAGAAGTGAGAAATTACTGATCATTGGTACCTTAAGCTTTTTGAGGTGGTTAGTTCTGTGTCTGCAGGGACTAAGCAAGGACAGGCCTTCAATGGGAGGTCCTGGCTTTTGGGGCCAAGTGCTGCAGGAAGCACGCCATGGGAAAGACAGGCCTAGAGGAATGATCACCATATGGAACAGGAAGATAAAATGCCGTGTTCAGAATAAACACAGGATAAACTTTCCACTACTGCTCCCATTACCATGAACAAAGCTGTGGAAGCTGGGATGCCTTATATCGAAGTAAATGTGTTACTTGTGAAAACTGAGTTCTTCCAAAGCATAATTTTCATTGTTGAAAGGGAATATAATTGTGCTGTCAGCTTATGTTTTGGGACTTGTAAGTTAATGCTGTGTTTGTTTGGGTTTTTTTTTAAGGGAGGTGATATAACTAACCATGATGGAACAGGTGGACGGTCAATTTATGGAACAGCATTTGAAGATGAGAATTTTGAAGTGAAACACACTGGTCCTGGATTGTTGTCAATGGCAAATAAGGGCAGGGATACGAATAATTCTCAGTTCTTCATAACACTTAAAAAGGCAGAACACCTGGACTTCAAGCATGTGGTATTTGGGTTTGTAAAAGATGGAATGGATGTTGTGAAAAAGATTGAATCCTTTGGTTCTCCTAAAGGGCTAGTAAATGGAAGAATTGTCATTACAGACTGTGGGCAAATATAGAATTATTGCTTTGAGTATACAGATGTTCTAGCAGTATAAATCACTATTTAGATGTTGACTAATTATTTCAACTTCTTAAAATGGACACTTCTGATGTATAAATGTAAAATTACAGCTTATAGTTGGGTTTTTTATGTGTTCTAATTGATTTTTTGCATGTTAAAAAGTTCAGACACTGGCATATTTCAGGTGTATTTGTGTTATCCTGACATATTTGTATTAAATGTCAAATTTTAAATATTAAATCTTAGTCTTGTTAAAATAAATACCTTGCCCTGTGATTTGTTTTAAAAAAAAAACAAACCACAAAAACCCAAAACCAAACTTGCATAACTTGTTTTCTTGCTGTCATAAATCTATTTTGAATATGGAAATTGTAGATGCTAAATGCTGGTCAGTAAACCGGAAGGCCTTTGGAACTTCCTCTTTTGGAGTGCAGGAAGCAAGCTCAGGGGGCTAGCAGGTAGATGCTGGTTTGCACTGCCCAAAGTCTCCGAATAGCACTTCAGCATTTGAAAGAGAATAGTTCTTAAATCTTTTGAGTGATGTGTTTCCAGAGAAGTGCACCAAGTTTTTTTACATACATAGAATATTTCTAAATTAGTTTAGTTAAAAAAAATTACTTACTTTAAATGCTGTAGTATAACCTACTGCTACTGCTGTCTTCTGTGTTCATTAGCTTCGTTTCCTGTCAGACTTTTCTGACCTCACTGCACAAGCTACTGCTGTCACTGTGTTCATTAGCTTCGTTTCCTATGTCAGACTTTTCTGACCTCACTGCACAACTGAATTACTGCAGTTTTTATCTTTTAAAACTTTTGTCTCTTGGTAGTGAAAATGCATGAATAAATGTGGGCATTTTTTAAACTTCTACTTCTTAGAAGTTTTTTAAACTTCTACATTCCTAGATGTTATCTAGGATCTTTTTTTAAGGTAACCAATTTGGCATTATGATCTCCAGGTTGGAAATATGTACCTTAACATTCAGCTTTAAACTCTTTTTTGGTATTTTTAAAAGGATAACAGGAGTACTTCTTCCCTAAAGCTCCTCCCGAAGCACTAGACTGCACAACACTAAACCACACCTGCTCTGGCTTGCTGTGGGAAGCTGGGACTTAGGTCCGCTCCACAGGCACGAGGGGGAGGCCGGAGCCGCAGGAACCAGTGTCCCGTCGGGGCGGAACAGTCGTCGCTGGGGTTTATGGGGCGGGAAGCACCGGCAGGCAGGGGCGGCCG